ACCCTTCAGGGCAAACCAGCCAGCCCCACCCATGCACCAGGCCTCTATCCTATATAGTAAAAGGGTAATATGCCTCCCAGCCCCGGGATCAGTGGAGCCGCGAGGCCTCCCAGCACCGGGATCAGCGGAGCCGAGAGGCCTCCCGGCACTGGGATCAGCGGAGCCGAGAGGCCTCCCGGCACTGGGATCAGCGTGACAGGGGGCAGCGTCCAAACCCCCTGATTGCCCTGCGGCTCTGTGTGTGACAGGGGAAGGCGCCCCAACCTCCTGATCAGCCCTGCTTTGTGCCTGATACGGGGGAGTTCCCCAACCCCCTGATCGCCCTGCGGCTCTGTGTGTGACAGGGTGCGGCGCCCCAACCCCCGCCCCCACGGGCCCTGCTCTGTGTGTGACAGGGTAGAGCCATAACCTCCCATCGGCCCTGCCCTGAGTGTGAGAGTGGCAGCGCCCCAACCCCCTGATCGGCCCTGCTCTGTGGGTGATAGAGGGCGGCGCCCCAACCCACCCCCCCCACGGGCCCTGCTCTGTGTGTGATGGGGTAGAGCCATAACCTCCCCATCGGCCCTGCCCTGAGTGTGACAGTGGCGGTGCCCCAACCCCCTGATCCGCCCTGCTCTGTGTATGACAGGGGGCGGTGCCCCAACTCCCCTATCGGCCCTACTCTGTGCGTGACAGGGTAAGGAGCCCCAACCCCCCTGATGGGCCCTGCTCTGTGCATGACAGGGTAAGGAGCCCCAACCCCCCTGATGGGCCCTGCTCTGTGCATGACAGGGGGCAGTGCCCCAACCCCCTGACTGGCCCTGCTCTGTGCGTGACAGGGGGTGGTGCCACAACCTCCCCATCGACCCTGCCTTGAGTGTGACAGGGGGCGGTGCCCCAACCCCCCCAATCGGCCCTACCCTGAGCATGACTGAGGGTGGCATCACAACCTCCCAATCCGCCCTGCTCTGTGCATGACACAGGGGGCGGCGCCCCAACTCCCCAGTCGGCCCTGCTCTGAGCCCGACCAGAGGCTGCACCTAGGGATTGGGCCTGCCCTCTGCCACCCGGGAGCAGGCCTAAGCCAGCAGGGCGTTATCTCCCGAGGGGTCCCAGACTGCGAGAGGGCACAGGCCAGGCTGAGGGACCCCTCCTTCCCCCCGAGTGCACAAATTTTTGTGTACCGGGCCTCTAGTATAGGATAAGCTTAAGGTAGCAATGGGTTTCCAAGCCCTCTTCATTGCTACGAGAGGCAATAATGAAGAACAGACTATCACAGAGGAAAAACCCCAGTAGTTTCAGGTCGCCTTCACTTTCTCCCACAGCATGGCCTGCAAACGTTCACATATATTCAGCCATAAACACATCAGAGTCAAATAATTTTGGGAAACACTAGGCTTAATCCCATTAAACTCTCTACTGGAAGACTTCGAATCCTTCCTGTGCCGATACTCACAAAGGACAAACTACGCTGCACTGATCCAGCTGTCTTCACTGGGCACCCACAGAACTAGTGCTCCCCAGTGTACACTCTGGGAAACAACACGGGCTCAGAGGATCACTTTCCTTAATCCCACAGGCAGCTCACTCATGTGTTTAGAATCAAGAAATTGTTTTCTCCCCCACAGAAGGCCAGATGAGGATGAAACCTCACAATGATTTATGAGCAAGGACACACATTCTAGACCCAGGAGACAAAAAAATAGCAAATACAAATCTAATTACACTAGCAGCCTGGTGCACAAATTCATGCACGGGTGGGGTCCCTTGGCATGGCCTGCAGGGATTGGGCCAAAACTGGCAGTCCAACGCCACCTGCTGCTCCTGCCTGCCTTCCCGCTCATCCCGGCCCTGCTACGTCTGCTGCGGGCTCGTGCCCAGTCAGTCCTGATCGCGAGAGGCTCACACCACTGCAGCAGCACTAGCCAGCCTTGAGCCCTGCATCTGGCACCTATCCCAAGGGGGGTGGGGTGGGGCCGGGGATGCGATTGGCCCTCTGGGTGGGTGGTGGGACGCCCTTGCAGGCCAGGGATCTGGATCCGTCCCGCTGACATTCGCTGGTTGTCGGAAACCACCTGGCAGCCTTTTAAATCATTTCTTCCTTGCAGAGCATCTAGGGAGGGGAAGCGGCCATGGTGCCTGAGGCCAACTTCCAGTGGCGCTGTCAAGATCAGGCCAGCAGCGCCAACCCGTTGGTGCCTGGCCCGTTCTCCAGAGATTGGACCTGCAGGACTACCGAGGGAGCGAGTGGCTGCTGCTGGGCTGGTGGGCCACCGGGACGATCCGTCAGCTGAGCAGCACTCCCGCTGTGGGAGCGCACTGGCCACCAGGGGTCAGCTCCTGCATTCAGCATCTGTCCCCTGGTGGTCAGTGCACCACATCATAGTGACCAGTCGACCAGTCGTTTGGTCGTTTAGGCTTTTATATCTATAATAAAAGCCTAATATGCTAATCAGACCGGACGTCCTCCTGGACGACCTTCCAGACAAAGCTGGGGCTGCAAGGGAAGCCCGGGTCCCAGAGGAAGCTGGTGCCGGCAGCCGGGGGAAGGAAGGCCTACTATTGCATGAATTTTGTGCATCGGGCCTCTAGTATATAAATGATTCTCATTTGAAGACCTCCAAAGGCTTTCCAAATCTACAAGAGAAAACCCCAATTCTGCAGAGTTCTTGAAAGTTTTCCATGGTCTGCTTTCGAACCCAGCCACATCTGTCAGCATGCAGACCCCAGTGCTGGAGTCCTGGCTCCCCGCACTCCCTCCCAAGTCAACGCTCCAAAGGCAGAGAAGTCTCAGCTAATTTAGCTCAATGGGGCACCTGCCATGGTTGTCTACACTTGAAGACCTTACACCTGCTATTCCTTCATCAGAAAACACTACGCTACCAATTCCTGCTGGACTTCCATATGACCTTTTGGCTTTAGGTTCAGCTTAGACAGTAGTTCTTCCAGGAAACCTTGCCTGACATGCAAAGGCTGGGCTGGTATCAACACTATAGGTCCTCACAGCATCCACCCTTCCCCACACCCCAGGACTTTCTCCACTGAAAGACCTGTTTACTTGTTTCAACCAGGATGCGTATCTCTGGGGGCTAACTATGGGGTCTGGGCACACACATCATTTCTAGCAGAGTTTTCACACCGCCATCAATTACTCATGTATATGTAGTCACTCGGAATGCACGAAGCCCACAGTAGTCACTACACAGATTGCTGTTGACCCAGCGCATGCCTGCTGTTTTATCTCAAGAGCAGAAAGTTCTCCTTCAGACACTCTGCATGTTTAATGAGACAAGGCTCTAGTCCAGGGGTGGGCAAACTTTTTGACTCGAGGGCCACAATGGGTTCTTAAACTGGACCGGAGGGCCGGAACAAAAGCATGGATGGAGTGTTTGTGTGAACTAATATAAATTCAAAGTAAACATCATTACATAAAAGGGTACGGTCTTTTTTTTTTTTTAGTTTTATTCATTTCAAACGGGCCGAATCCGGCCCGCGGACCGTAGTTTGCCCACGACTGCTCTAGTCCCACCATTGCAAAGGTCCAGTAAAGGGTTAGAGGGCAGTCACTATAAATGCCATTCAGTGTGTGCCAACTTCATGAATAGAGTCAGAAAACAAGGAGGGAGGGGAGGGGAGGGGAGGGGAGGGAAGGGAAGGGAAGGGAAGGGAAGGGAAGGGAAGGGAAGGGAAGGGAAGGGAAGGGAATGGAGGGGGGGGAGGAAGGGAAGGGAACGGAAGGGAGGGGAGGGGAGGGGAGGGGGGAAGGGAGGGGAGGGAAGGGAATGGAGGGGAGGAAGGGAAGGGAATGGAAGGGAGGGGAGGGGAGGGGGAGAAGGGAAGGGAGGGGAGGGGGAAGGGAAGGCAGGGGAGGGGAGGGGAGGGGGGAAAGGGGAAGGGAGGGAAGGACACAAGGTAGACAAGCAAGGGAAAGAGTGCTGTTGCCCTGTCCTGTAGGCTCAGCTGGCTGAGCATCCTGTGCACCGAGAGGTCAATGGTTAGATGCTGGTCAGGGCACATGCCCTGGTGGCAAGCTGGATCTCCAGTAGGGGGCGTGCAGAAAACAGTCAATAGATGTTTCTCTCTCATTGATGTCTATGTCTGTCTGTCTCTCTCTCTCTCTCTCTCTCTCTCTCTCCCCGCCTCAAAAAAAAATCAATAAAAATGTATTTTAGAAAAAGAGTGCTGTTGCTTCTCCATTTCAGTGAACTTCTGTCCTGAATGACCAGGAGGTGGGAGGCTGCTCTCCACCGGTCTCTGCTCCTGGTGTATCTCAGAGCGGTCACCTTGCTCCTTGGAGTGTCAGGTACCACACAAAGTAAGAGCATTTCAAGGGAAACCCTGACCTTCAGCAATTTTGTTTTCCTATGTGCTTGGAAATGGACTCATTTATAAGTTAGGACTCAACTGCATAAGTAGTCTAAGAAAGAATTACTTCAGTGTTGGCAAGAAGTAGAAATAGTGGCTAGAACTAAAACGCAAATGTAAATTAGCCACAAGGGCTAACCTATCCCTTCCATAATTTTGTCATTCAAGATAACAAGCATAAATATTTCCAGAATGCACATCCCGGGAGATCTCCCCACAGAAGAGTAGACGGTATCTTCTTATTCCTCACACTAGCAGAAATCAAATTTCAAAGTCACATAAAACACAGCCTGCAACTTACTACGGCAGCTGCTACAAAGCAAATGCTCAATGAGCTTTGAGGAAGGAAGGAAGGAAGGAAGGAAGGAAGGAAGGAAGGAAGGAAGGAAGGAAGGAAGGAAGGAAGGAAGGAAAAGGAAAGGAAAGGAAAGGCAGGGCAGGCAACCAGAAAGGGAGTGAAGGCAAGGAGGAGAAAAGGAAGAAAAGAGAGAAGGAAACAAAGGGGAAGAAAAGGAGAAAAAGGGAAAGAACAAGGAACCCTGGTTTTGGTCTCTGGCATAGCTTTGTGATTCCATAGCAACATTTTAGAGTTAAAATTTTAACTGACACTCAAACCACACAGCATGGCATACAATGAAAATAGATAATCTACCCAGTGGAAACTATCAGCTGTGCTTTATTTGGAAACAACGGGATTTCTTACAGGTTCCCTAGAAGAAAAACAAGCTGCTACAGTAAGACAGTCCTCATTTTCATCAGCAGCTCATAACACCGCTCGGAGAATTCTCAGAGATAAGGAAGTTTCCCTAGCGCAGAGCGTGATGAATGCTAGCCTCTGCTTCTAGCCCCTGCTTCTGCTTACGGAAAAGCGACAGACAACGTGGCTATTTCTCTGTCCAATTTCCAGGGCCAATGCTGAGACACTGCAGGGCATCGTTCAGTCCCCGGTTGGCCAGGCGAGAAGGGGATGGATTAAGTGCCACAGGGATGCAGAGAGACCGAGCAAATGCAGCCGCTCCACGTGTCGCCACGTCCTGCCTTGTCCTGCGCGTGAGTGTGGAAACAGGTGAACAACATCCAAGTGTGCAGTCCTCACTGTACAACCAAACGGCCGAGGACAGGTGAATTCTGGGAAACTGAGGCCTCGCAGGATTCCTGGGTCCTCGTTCTCCCAGCCTCTCAGCTCCGGGGACTCCCTGGAGGTCAGCTCTCAGCCGCAGGTTTGGCAGGGATCCAGAAAACGTAAGAGGAAAACTGGCCAAGCGCCCGGCCCAGCCCATCAAAATCTGCCGCTGAGCCCCTCAGGTCCTGCATGGAGGCCACAGGTCTCGGGGGTGCGGCCTCACATATGTCGTCCAGAAACAAGTATCTGAAAACAGAGGTTCATTTGTGCTGTTTGCTAGATGTGGTTTCCTCTCCCCTCAGCCATCATCTGAATCATCTACTTAGAGCTGCAGCTCTAGGCTCACACGGAAACATTCCCACCTCCCTACAACAAGTCCCTGGTCCCTTTGCAGCTCACCACCCTCAGCCAGCCAGTTCCCCAGACGCAGCCATCCCTCCGCCCTGAGGGCACAGAGCCTCATTTGTGGACAACCTTTCAGCGGAAATTCCAACACGTGCTGAACAGCACACCTTCCTCAAATCGGCAGCTCCAATCGATATCCCCACAAACGCCACCAGCGCTCCGTCGTTTGCTCTCTCGCTCTGTGTTTATGAGCAAGCACAGGACCTGCTGCCCCCAGGTCGGCACAGAGCAGTCAGCTGACCCTGCAAATGCTTTGAAAATCCATGGGACCAAGATAAACTCGTGATACCAAATATTTCATTGTCACTGAAAAATCAACAGTACCCTGAGAAATGGAAAGACTAAGTTTAGAACACTCCAAGAGCTTTTAAGAAGGTAATAAACAATCCATCTTAACTTACAACATGGACTTTTGACTGAAATAAATCTATGTGCTCCACCATGTTATCTTTTGAGATTAATGTCATGGAGTATTCCACAGATACAACGAAACTCTGATCTATAAAAATTTATGAAAAAGCAAAAGAACAAAACGATGATCTGATCACTAATCTAGAATGTGCCTAATTCTTAGTATTCTCAGGCTCAATGATGATAACCTACTTCTTCATTATACAAATATTTACTGAGAAGCTACTATGTTCAGTCACTGTGCCTGGTGCAAGTGATGCAAGCAGACATCCTTCAGTGTTACAGTGGGCCCCGCAGGACGGAGTGCGTCAGAGCATGAAGAAATAGTCCTCATCACGCTACTACCCTGAGACTTGGCTACGTCACAGCCAGGGGGAGATGACAAACTGTGTTTAGAAAAAAGGTTTCCTAATCTTTGCAAAAGCAACAAAAAATCTTTTGTTACACATAATGAGTTTCTCAAAGAACTAATCTCACATTCTCCATTTTCATCATAATTTACATTATCCGGATTACGCAGACCTGCAAGTTCACATCCACTGTGTTTGGCACTCTGACGACACAATAGGATATTTGGCTGTTTCTCTTTTTCCTGCCCTCCTTGATGTTCAGTGAACTGTGAAGGTGTTGAGATCATTGCTATATTTTGCTAAAATGGTCTCACACGTTCAGGTAACTTGGGAGGTTATTGCCTGTAAAACAAATGAGGCATCGCTAAAATGCTACCTCTTGCTTGAATATCATTTGAAACTTCACACCGTCGGGGAGATGGGTCCCAGGAGCACACCTCTAGTGAAAGCTCCCGCTCCTACCAGCAACGGATGCTACGCAGCAATTATGCCACCGAGCTGTCCAGAATGCCTATCTGCATGCAAATTAGTTCACATGTGCTCCAGCTGCTATTATGACAATATTAAAACAAGAATCTGGTAATGAAACTATCCTCGTTATGAAAACACAGTTCAATTACCCTAATAACACAGTGCATCTACCTGCAATCCCTGCACCTGACCCACCTTCTCACAGCGGGAAATACATGTGAGAAGGGCCAGGAGGACAGGCATTTCAGGGCTACCTTTTACAGACTTGAATTTCAGTGCTGTGATGGAGTGCTCCCTCAACTGACAACATGGGTAATTGGGCTATTAAATATTCCCACAATCCTCCAAAGGTTAAAAATTAAATGGCCATCAAACCCACAGCTGTTAGCCCCGAGCTTTGTCATTGATCATTAGCATTAAGTCCCGGAACTTCCAAAGGCCACCAGTAGGCAGGAGTAAGAGAGGGAAAAAAGCAAGGTCTTAATTCCAGGCCTGAAACACCATCATAAAGCTAAGCGCGCAGGCGCTACACCGTCTAGAATGGTCATTGCAGTTACTACAGGACGGCTGACACGCACACACGCTCCCTTCCTCAGGTCATTGCCTCGCCTTCTCAAGCAGCTGTCCACATCCCTGCCTGAGGCTGGAGTCGCAGGCAAAGTGCCCACTGCTGGTCACACAGCAGCCTTCCCGCCAGGGAGCGAGTCCCAGCATCCTCCGCGGGCCGTGCTCGGCCGTGTCCGAGAAGACCCTGAGTCTCACAGCTGCGCATCTGCAGTGTAGCTTTCAAAGCTGAGAGACTGTAAGCAGCAACTGGCAATTTTACAAGAAGCAGGGAGGGCTGATCCTTCCATTAAGCAGTTTTTATAGGCTGCCTGTTTTGGTTGACTGAAAGAACACAAAAACTTCAGAAGAACCATACATTGTCCTGGCCAGTATTGCCCAGTGGTTAGAGTACCAGGCCATGACTCGAAGGGTCCTGGGTTCGATGGCTGGTCAAGGGCATGCACCTGGGTTGCAGGTTCATCCCCAGACCCAGTTGGAAGGCAACCAATGGATGTGTCTCTCTCACATCAGTGTTTCTCTCTCCCTTTCATTCTCTCTAAAAATCAATGGAAAAAATATCCTCGGGTGAGGATTAACAACAACAAATAAAAAAAAAATAATAAGAACACCATACATTATTCTCAAACTGTTTATATATTCCTCCTGTCACAGGACTGAAACACCTTGAGAAAGGTGGCTTGAGACAGACTTTTAAAAACTAACAGAATACCACATTTTCTCCTCACTTTTATTTTTTTTAATTTGTTTTGTTGTTAATCCTCATCCGAGGATACTTTTGAGCCTGCAATGGGGGTATGTGCCCTTGACCGGAATTGAACCCGGGACCCTTCAGTCCACAGGCCAACGCTCTGTCCACTGAGCCAAACTGGCCAGGGCTCCTCACTCCTCTTTTACTCTGTGTTAACTGATACTGATTTTATCTAATGGCGCAAGATGCATCTGTTTCCTCAAAATTGATTTTTTCAAAGTGGTCCCACTGCCAGGAAACATGGCGTTACTTTATGTGGCTGGAGGTGTCCATTCATCGACCAGATTCAATGCATACACCAGGGCAGGCCAGGGGCCAGGGCCTGCGGTCCCCCTGGTGAACTAGGAGAAGGACTGCCTGTCGCACGGAGTGGAACACCCAAAGGGCCTGACACTCAGGGACAGCACCCCTTCCTGTGAGACCCGGGGAGTTCCAGGACCACCTGCACCTCAACCTCTGAATCTGACATGTGGAGGGAGCGCCCCCCACACAAAGGCTGTTTGATTATTTAAACCTGATAACCTAGTTCAGTGCTTCTCTCTGGGCAGCAAATGTCAACTTGCACTTCCTTCTTCGGAGGTGAAAGTGCCCCCCACCCCCCACCCCAGCTGGCACATTACCTTTAGCTTCAAAAGACCACCATTAACTGTCTCATCAGAATGCTCTCTTTTCTAAAAATAAAAAGGAAATCCACGAATTTCTGGTTCCATTTTTAAAGCAAAAGATTTTATAGTGGTAAAATATAAAAACATACATTTCACCATCTGAACCATTTTACACTGTACAATTCAGTGGCATTTAGTACATTCACAATGTTGTACAACCGCCATCACGATCTAATTCCAAAACATTCTCATTACCTCAGATGAAAACGCCACACCCACCGAGCACGCTCTCCTCTTCCCATCTCCCCACAACGCCTGGCGGCTGCTCTGGATTTGCCTATTCTGGACATCTCATGTCAACGACACCGTACAGTGCGTGGCCTTCGTGCCTGGCTTCTTTCACTGGGTGTAATGTTGTCAAGGCTCGCACATGTGGCAGCGTGTAGTGCTTCCTTCCTTCCCATGGCTGAATAACATTCTCTTATGTGAATACACTACATTGTGTTTATTCATTCATCAGCTGGCACACATCTGGGCTGCTTCCACCTTTGGCTACTGTGAATAATGTGCTGCCATGAACATGCATGTACAAGTTTTTGTTGGAACATCTGTTTTCAATCTGAGTATATACCTAAGGAGTGGAATTGTTTTAAAAATGTTTTTTGGGGGGAGGGATGGGGGGTTTATGTATTGGTTTTATTTGTTTTTTAGAGAAAGAGAGGGAGAGAAGAGGAGGGAAGGAGGGAAATAGATTTGTTGTTCCACTTATTTATGCATTTATTGGTTGATTCTTGCACGTGCCCTGACCAGAGATCAAATCCACTACCTTGGTGTATTTGGATAATGCTCTGACCAACTGAGCTACCAGCCAGGGCAGGTTTTAAATATGTTAAACATGTACACACATATAATATATAGATGCATACATAAAAATATAAACACACACATAACAGACATAGACATGGACATATAATCTACATACATAATATACACAGTTGACCCTTGAGCAACACAGGCTTTGAACTGTGCAGATCTACGTCTGTGTGGACTTGTCAAATTTTTTAGAGATTTTCTTACTACTATGAAGCAATCAAATCTATTACATTAGGCTACCAAAAAGCAATCATATTGCTGCTGCTTCATTATCAATACCTATAAATAAACAATTTCTTTTTTATAGTATTTTTTCATTTTCTAAAAGAATATTTTATTGATTTTTTAGAGAGAGAAGAAGGGAGATGGCAAGAGAGAGAAACATCTATGTGAGAGCACAACATCCATTGGCTGCTTCCACAACAGGGTATGTGCCCTTGACCAGAAATCGAACCTGCAACCTACATGACCACACCCAAGCAACTGAGCCACACAGACCAGGAGGACTGTCAATTTCTTTCTTATTTTTTTTAATCCTTACCCGAGGATATGCATCCATTTACTTAAGAGAGAGAGAGAGGAAGGGAGAGGGGGAGAAAGAGAGAAAAACAAACAAACATTGAGGTGAGAGAGAAACATCAATTGGTTGCCTCCTGCACTTGTCCCACCAGGGAATCAGATCTGCAACCTGGGCATGTGCCCCGATGGGAATCAAACCCGTGACCCTTTGGTGCACAGGACGGCACTCCAACCACTGAGCCACTCCAGGCTAGGGCTTATTCTTTCATTTTTGATGTCTAGTGTTAGCAACACATA